CAGGAATGAGGAAAAGGAGTGTTTCGATCAAATTAATGTAGAGGCCTGTTGGGCAGGAAAGACATGAACCAAATGACTGTGAGAAGGAAATGGTACAACTAAGTTCCTTTGACTCCTTCAAGCTCCGAGGTCTCCTTGACAACTAGTCTAACATTGCTCAGTTGGCACCTGCACTCTATATTGTTGTTTCACAGCTCCAGGTTATGTCAAGAGCCTTGACCTTGTGGGAGAGGTGCAACATGGAAGTCTATGTGGCATTTCAGAACAACATCAAGCCCCCACACTGTCTTGCAGCTCACAAGTATATACATTGAGTTTTGTGACACAAAAGTGTAAAGCAGCGGAGGAGGACGGCAGTTATCCCAGCGTACTCCATCAGCTGTTGTCCTTTCCTCTCCCCTCCCTCGCTGTCAACCTTCACAACAGATGGAAAGTGGAATTATTTTAGGTAGAAGAGCAAGTGAGGAAGCACATTCAAGACTGAAGACCACGCTACAGGTCCAAAGCAAACTCTGGGAAGCTGAGAAAAGGAGGAAGGTCATACCTAGTATTAATGGCACGGGTGTCTGACAGGGAAAAAGCTGTATGTGCTACTCTGCAATTAAAACAGGGCAACAGAACATATTAATTAAACATTTTATTTAAACCAATACAAGCACCATGCTTAGCAAAAAAGATTTGGTTTAAAGTAAACATGCAATGTGAACTAGCAGAGACTAAACAGCATATGGAAGTTGTACTAGTTACTGATATTTTCATAGAATTGCAAATTCTCAAAACTGGCCATGAACCTCTCACACCTTTTACCACCTGCAGCACTGGTGCCAACCCTGACATGTCAGAGGACACAAGTCACATCGAGTCTGGATCATGTAACAAAAGCAAGAGTTTCACTGCGCCCCTTCTCATGGCCCATCAGATCTCCATTGCACAGTTACTAGATGTACGTTATAAAAAAAATACATTGCATGACATTTCACACTAAAGTGAGGAATTGAACTCCCTTGCTTTTGCATGTTTGATTCAGACCCCGATACCAGTTTAACATTGTTTCTGGACTAGCTATTTTACAGTTAAAGATACAAAAATGGAATCCTGGTACAAATGCATAAGATACTCGTTTGGAGAAGTGAAAAGGTGTCAACACCAACATTATTGCCTCCTTTGATAGATCAAAACAGCATTCATGATACTAGAAACACACTTAAACCATCAAATACCAGCATTTAAATTTTTTTTTTGTTAAAAAGATTCAAACAATACAAGTCCATTTTATGGGCTGACATGCAAACTCATGCTTTAATTCAGCTTACCATCAATTAATAGGATTACAGGAGCTGTATCCCAGCCAACTATTCAATATCTCAAGCAAACCAGATTAATTGTGGCATAAGTCTCCCTTTATGAGAGACCTTTAACTCCAGGCCAAGGATTTTGTGGCCAACTTACTAACTCCTGAATAACAGGAGCTCACAATGGAAAATGCTGACTCTCAGACCTTTAGCTACAAAAGCTCCCATAGGTGGCATTAGTTAATTTATGTTGTCCTTTAGTTTGAACCCCTTTAGAGACCTGAAAATTCAAGACTGATGGATGACTACAAATGGGAAACTCACTGGTAAAGCACAGTCAGGACATACTGGCCTTCTGAACATGGACACATCCACTTCCCACTAGTTTTAAGAGGGAAGCAGCACAAAAAATACAGTTCTAAAGAGAAGGTAGGAAAAGTTATGTTATGAAAACAAGTTATTACTTGTGCAGGAAAGATTTTGACATAATTGATGTCTTTGTTTAATGAAGTATCAGCAGTATCTCAAGAGCCTAGGACAGTAAGCAGCAGTTGTGTCAAAACACTGCATTAAAAACAAGGAAACCACAAACAAGCGTAGAACAGCAAACATCCTCTGCACAGTCATTCTCCAAGCACCTGCAGCTGCTTCCTCACTTCCACAGCTCAGAGAGGTGAAGGAGGTACAGCTACTAAGCAAGACCGTTTGCAGACTAATACTGGTGGGCTGAGCCGCATCAACATCACCTTTCACAAGAAAAGCGGGCTTTAACACTCTCATTGGAATTTGTTTGCTTTGTACAAGACTCGAGGGGCAGCACCCAAGGCACAAAGTCCTTAAGTGGAGGCAACAGGAGCATCTGAAGAGAACTGAAAAGAACTCAGGCTGAAGATATAGCCATAAGTAGCAATATTTTCTTGGCAGAACATGGAGTGATCCAGAGATGAAGAATCAAATTCAATCATTTGACTGCAGCAGCTCCTCCCTTCTCCTATTGAGACAGGCCCTTTTTACAGTTATTTTTGTCCAGACCTGTGCAAGCAGCAGTTGGATGCTGGCGGCCCACCAGTGTACAAAGTACAATGAGAAAGATTAATCCAGTTTTCCCCACTGCAAATCAAGCCGAACGTTACAAGTGGGAGCTTCCCGCTCACCCACACTGTACTTTGACATGCCTTACCTTTAGCACAATGCCAACAAAACAAGATTCTTGCTGTTTCAGGACTGATGCTTAGAATGACACTATTCTTTAAGCCAAAGTCTAATTTATACAATGTTTGTCACAAAAGATATTGTCTTTATTGATCTGTAGTACAGAATGATCAAGCAACAGTTTCATAATGAACATTTTTTTTGTCCAGGGAAATTAAATTGTTTTTCCAGTTCACTACGTTAACACAGAACTTTAATTACAAGCCTTTCTTTCCCGCACTGAAAGATCAATTTAATTGGATCATTCTAACATCAAGTCAGATTCATATACAAATAAATGAGCAGTAACATCAAACTAAGAAGAGATTTACCAACACTGAGGACCTTTGCAAATGAATTCCTTGTGATCTTAGAGGAATTAGTGTTTTAACACTAACACAACATATGTTTACAAATGAAAAATACACCTTCTTTCAGCAAAGGTTTCACAGCATGAAATACTGGCCTCCAAATTTAACACTGCATGCCTTCTCAAACACATTTGTTAGGGCAGCTGTATTTTAAGGTATGTTATCAACAGGAAGCTGCTCTTACGCAGATACTTTCAGTAACACAACAAACACTCATGAGCACAATAGTGAGATACTGTCACATGAGCACTCCTTTTGCCACTGCATGGGCTGAACATGTCCCATATCAGCCAACTACTCTATTCAATATAAAACAGACCTGTAAAAAGACTGGTCATTTATAAAAGTTAAATACTATTTTCACATTAGAATATTTGCTGTTTCAAAGAGATGAACTGTAAGTAAATGAAAATTAAATTATCACTTATGCAAAAGCTTTGTCTGGAATGTAATTTTGACCAACAAGTAATTAAGAAAGTTAGAGACTGTAATTAAAGTACTCCAAAGCTATGTATGGCCAACTTTTATAACAAGAGATATAAATCATTCATTATCATGAAAAACTTTAACCTCCTGACTCCTACAAATGGAGTAGATGACTGGAATTTCGAAGAAAATGAGAAAATGAGGTTAGCTTTTTTTTTTTTTACAGATGTCAACTGCAACACTAGGCACTAGGAAAAAATGTTACTTGGATTCTTTAACAAAGCGTTAACCAAATTTGTAATAAGTGGCAGTGTAAAATTCTCAAGTCATTTTAAAGCTAACAAATAAAGGCACACAGTATTAACAGGTGTTCATATAATAGGAAATGAGAGAGGTAAACTTCTTAACAGTGTAGTAAGTTATATATGCACGACATCTGGTACAAGAGCAACCAGAGTTGTAATTCAGCCCTTAGTTATCACCTAGTTCCTGTAAGACTATATTAGCAAGAGAACTGGACAGTCAAAGCTTTGCCCTGAAATTTAGTAAAATTGACTCAATCTAAGGAATTACTGGAATGACAAAAATCCGTTCCAAGAATTTGAGAAAGTTCACATGGACACAATGGAAAGATAAGTGGATGGATTTGCTGTACAAAGATTTTGTCTTTTTAATACTAAATGATTCCAGGGAGTAGTTTTCAAAATTGAGAAGACATTAAGTCAAAAAGTCTGAAAAGTGACAGTACACGATTTCTGCATATAAATGGCTAGTATATGTCATAAGGATGCATTTGTAGCTCAGAAAAAGTTAGCGTCAGCTTCCAAATTATGTTTGCAGATAGTTATAAATCCAGAACTGAACTGTTTTAGTTATAGAAATATTAGTCACAAGAGTGCAAAAGGAGTCCCTGCAGAGGAGTATTCCCTTTTAACAGGTACAAATAAGGAAACACCTGCAAAGATTTGTTACTTCGAGGAGACAGACCTGCTATTCTTTGCACAAGAGATATACTGCAGGAGACAGATGTAAATACAGTGCATTTTTTAGATGTAAGTATTCATGTCTGGTTCCAGTATTATCAGGATGGTACATAAATACTTATTACAGAGGTTTTCTTAATGGAAGAAGCCCAGTTTCTCACGCAGCCATTCTTCAGTTAGGTCTTCTGTATTTCTTATTTCAAATACCTGAACAAAATTGCATGGCATAAATTCTTGAGGTGATGGTACTTGAAAGGCATAAGCATACAATGCAATCAATACCTTTCCACACAAGTTGGTTGAGCTGTCATAAACCAGTAACCAATCTAGAGTTTTCACACGCTTTCTTGAAAGGATCGGTTAACATTCTAAAGTAACATCAGTGGAAAAATACACAAGACTAAGTGGCAAGGAATATTACTAACTTGAACAAGAATCCCATAATTCCTATTTCTAGACTGCATTCTTCTCCTTTAAGAATATGTGAGAACAGCACATGTACTACATTTCAAAGTTACTCTGAAATGTCATCATCTCATATGCATTACCTCAGCAAGAAGATTGTCTATTTGAATACAAATGAATTTAACCTCTGGGCTGAATTAAGCCCAAAGTTCAGGAATTTTGCTCAGTCCCAAGACACAGTTATTCCTTCTTTGAACTGAAATAAATCCATATTATCCAGTAGCATAGTGTTTTGCCAGTAAGAATCAAGCCTGGGATACCTCAGAATAGAAAATTGTCAAAAAAAAAACCCCAAACCACCAACCACTCAACCAGCACTGATTTTCTTTTTTTTTTAGTAAAAGATAGAGGAAAAACCCAAAATTCAGTGTTACAAGAACAGAACAGCTTAACAGAAGCCAAGCTAATATGCAAGCCACTGAAAAAAATAAGAGGACTCAGTTGAGTCACACACAAAAATCACACCAGGAGGAAGTCACAGCATGAGCTAAAATGAAACATGCCTCAGTAAGTGGCAAGGACAAAGCACATTTGAAGAGCAAGTAAGCAACCCAAACTGTAAACAGGCTCTCTTCTCCAGCTTCAGAGGAAGATGATCATGGACCTCTATGTCCAGTCCTAGGCTTTCATTCAAAAGCCTTTAGACTAAATTTCTACCACTTGACAGGTGATAGTAACTCAAATACCGTTAGGCTTTCACCTTCTTAGCAACTCTTCCTTCTCACTCACTGAAAACTGCCTTCCTCCTCAAGGAATTCTTCCTTTCTATCAAAGATGTTAGAGTTCTCAGGCCTAAGATGCAGTTTCAACTGACTTAAAAAAAGATTCCTTGGGGCTGTACTGATTGCTTCCACCATCTTATCTTCTGCTTCCCTCCTATTTACTCCTGTCAACTTGACGCCTAATTTAAAACAGAAAGGTCCTTTCTTACAAGGTACAGCTAGAGGAGGTAGTTCACAGTTCTCTTATTGACCCAATACGCATTTTTACTGGGGTGTTCAAGTACTCAGGATGCGGAATACCAAAAGGGAATGGTGCTGTTGGGGAATGGTGAAGTCATTTCACGTTGTATGAAAAAGCCGAAGTGACCTCTTGACTATTTAGCTTTACCGGTTGAAACGAAAACTTTAAGAAATCTAGGTGCCAATTAAAGAGATATTTCAAAGATCTCCAAAATGACAATTCAGTGGCAATTAAAAAAAAAAAATATATCTAGACCTAGTGAATGCAGTGATTTCTATTTCTTCTGGTCTCAGTACTGGAGGAGGCAAATGCAGGAAGATTTAGAATTGTTCAGCACTTGGCACATGTGTTACTTTTTCTGAAAGTTATGTTCTGCAAGCATACAACCCCATAAACCATGCCGCAAAACTAGTCTGTAGTTCTATACTAAGACTTCAGTCTATTCTTCCCATCAATAAATTCATTCTCCAAATAAAAGACATCCATCCTACCGATGGATATTTTAGTTTTAGAGAACACTGTTCTTCCTGTACCCTAAAACTCCAGAAATCCCCACATATATTCTCTCTTCAGTCTTCCTAAAACAGAATCTGTTCACTGTAATTACAGTCTCGTAACACCCTTCTTGTGATAGGTTCAAGCAAGACACAAAACAGCTTTTGCAATCTGCATTTAAGGGGGAGATTAGTCAATTATACCTTAGTGAGTTCAGCTGTCTGTACAAGCTTATTCTTGCTTCCAGCATACATCATCTGCTGTTCAGGCTTACATCCTGTAGTTGTGTGGAGGCAAAAAAAGGGTTTGTTTAGTTATTTTGACTGCAACACTTCAAAAATTAGATTTTTTTTTTTTTAATAATAATAAAAAAAACTTAACTGAAAGCTTAAACCTCCATTCAGAAAAGTGACCTACTTTATATACATCATCATCCTTGCTCTTACTTTCATATCTGGTACTTGAAAAGCATTTCCAGAAGTAATAGTTGTGCAGGTTGAATTGGTGGTCTCAACATGCACCTGCTTTTCCTGCTTAAAGCTAACATCAAATATCGCAGCAGTCAAACTTGAATCACAACAGCCAGCAAAGCAGTACCTCCCGCCACTACAGTGGTGTGCTGACTGCACTGCATTCAATTCTTTGCGCTCTTGCTCTTTCTGGAAGATTCCCATGTCTTTCCTAGTTACACTTATACAGACCTTTACAGCATATGCCTTTGAGCTGGAGTCAAACAGAGAACGAATTTGCTATTCTTTCCCCTAATCTCTCCCCAAATTCTCCAACTGAATTGGTAGCTCAAAATGATCACCCCCCCCATCCCCAAACACAAGAGCAACTTCAGCCACAGCTGAACTTAAGTGCTGTTTAGGGACCTAACTAATGGTTCATTGTTTCTGACTCCTGTATGAGTCTAACCACTAACTTATGTTTGCAGAATTTTTTTTGAGACTGAAAACCTCAAGAAAAAAAAAGGCTGTTCTTTAGAAATTTCTTGTTTCAAAGTTTCTAGATACGAGTGTACTTTTAAATCTTGCCACCCATAAAAAACATTGTCTAAGCTCTCTTTTCCTATGAAGTATTACAAGACTGCCTGCTTTGCTAATTCAAGGTCTCAGAAAGTTTCTTAGTGTTATTCTAACTCACAAAATATCTATCATTCTGAAGAGAAGGAACACCCAGAACATTCATACAAAGATGCTCACGTAACTACAGAAGAGTATGCTCACCAGTTGCTAAACTCTTTTACCTACCTACTTATTCTAGTTCTGAGTAATGAAGGGTAAAACAATGCCACCAGTTTATCTTCTTCTAGAGGATAACAAGGATAATCCAGTAATACCAGCGAGCTACCCTATTACAATTCAGAACACAGATGGAAGCCACAGAAACAATTCAGCTCTGTAAGTCCAATGAAGTCACAGGTTATTTGGCGTCTATTAAAATTACAGTTTTCTGCACAGGTATGTTTATGTCAAGGGTTGCTGTGACACAAGCAGAGGAAGCCACTGCCCATATAAACATGGGATGACCCAAGATTACAGTCTCTTTCTCCTTGAACATTGTCTGTTCACCCAGCACTTTCACCTGCCCAGATCTGGGTTATGGAGCCCTCTTTCTCCTTTTCACCCATAGTTGTGACAGCGCTTTAGACCTTCACATCACAGCACTATTTGGAGGCATGCTCTGTTGCTGCCCATTGCATATAGGGCCCCTGGAAAACCCTCCTCTCTAGTCCCATCCTAACCCTTTTCCAGAGTCCTGTTTCTTTCACAGGTAGATAGGGGTTCCCATGCCCTTCTGAGAAGGAGAGGAACTTCCTCCCACCCAGTCACTAACATCCGGATAGCAAGACGGACAGAGGTGAACAGAAACCTTCGTGAACAGAGGTGGCATCTGCCAGCCCTCTCCTCACTCATTTCCTGAGCCTTGTCTAGTCATATTTTGAGGATTCCCGAAGATTTGAGAGTGTCAGGAAACACATGAGGTTAAACCTACATGAGTAGCTGCAGAGTGCTCCAGGCTCCTTTCCTTTACAGGAGGGTGTTGCTGAGCACACCACTGAGAATGCAGTGGGCAGGCACATTGAGAAAGACACACCTTTTGGCCAGCTATGCAGGAAACGAACACTTCTGCTCAGCCTTCAGAAATGGGAAAGAAAGAATCTCTTCTATCATAGTTTCTAAGTGCTCTAACTGTAAACCCCAGAGGCAGTGAAAACCTCCAGCAACTAAGGAGATCCAGGCAGATGAAGTGTTTACACTTGTCATGAGCTGATGGTGAAGATGGAGCTAATACAACTAGCGAGTCCTCTCTGCCAAAGAAGGTCTCCAGCTAATGCCATAGCTTATAGTGCATTGCTTCCAGCAGTGGCATAAGCAAATCTAGCCTTAAGCATCTGAACCACTATTTGAGCATTAAGCACTCATTTTATCTACCAAAGCAAAGAATATTCCCATTTTTACAGCCCACAGTAGCCACCATTCACAATGTTCACTCACCAACTGGACTGGAGAAGATAAAGCACAATGGATAAGAAACTCTTCCATCATCATGCTGATACTTGTAACTATACACAACAAATGTTTTTTCTGAGGTTAAAGAAACTAAGAAATCAATGACTTTATAAGGATATAATCCTCAGTGAACAGAGCCTGATGCAGGCACAAATAAGTCTTGCATTCTAGAAGACACTTTAAATTTGGCAAGTAATTTCACTTCCATATTTGACTTTCAGTGCTGACTATGCCTGTCTTCACCAAGCGCTACCACATCTGGGTGCGAGTGCTGTCTCTGTATTACTCTGTCACATCAGGGAACTTTCATCACAAATACTCTCTCCCAGCTTTGTAAAAAGACTTCCCACACCCACCAATGTGTTTCTGGCTTAATGAAAGCCAAATTCTTTCTCTGCAGATTAAGCACTTAATTGTTTCAGGTGGTTTAACTCAACTTTTAGCTAGGACTCCTGCTTTATAGTCTCCTGCTGCACTATGGTCATAAAAAGAAAGATTCAGAATGGCATGCGGAATAGTGCCAGCCTGCATTTAAGGACAATGGAGGCAAATATTTTCTTCACTTATAACTTAAGTATCCCCCTAATTTAATCTAGTTAAAGAATAATTTACTTGCCTCTTTTTTTTTTTTTTAAAAATACAGGGATTCTTCCCTAGAGCACATGCCTACAGCACTCCCAGAATCAGTAACTGCAGCAAAATAGCAAGGGGGACCTGCTGAGAAAGTACCAAAACAGATCCGAAGTTACACAGGCACTTTTCTGTATTCAGAAGTAGCCACATACAAAACCTGTACATTTTACTCACTTCTTTACATTAACAGCAGTGTGGCTTCACTTTACTTCCCCAAACATATAGTCTAAAAGGAAATAATATCTCAGGAACGGCTTAAATGTGTCAGTCATTGTTTCAAGAAGTGGGACAACTGTTCAGTGCGTCATAAGAACTGATCTCTGATTTATCTCACAAATAAAGCATCAGTAAAGTCACACTACAGACAAGTATTGGCCTAAAAAGGTGAAGTCCAGCTTTGAACATTTTGAACAGCTTCCAGGAGTAAGTAAGAGCAAATGCCAGCGGCACAAGAAGGATATCGAGGTTGTCTCTCAGGCAGCTCATCTTTTAGCTCATCGGGAGAAATACCCTGGTAACATTAAACACAAGCAATATTTGAACAAATGATCTGGCACTTGAAGGCATACTACAAAGGCTAAAGCAAAATAATGGAACAGTGAAACAGCTGGAATTTAGATGTATATCCACAGTTGAACTGACAATGATCTCTCACAAAAATTACTAGAGCAGCTTAAGAAAACTTGTGTGCTAACAGATTCCTATGACTAAACACAGAATTAATGTTAGCATGAATAATCATCCCCATTTTAGGCATAGCGAGTTTAGAAAACATTTTTGGCTCTAGTTGGATATGCTGGCAGCTACCATGCTTTTCTAACTCTGGTGCTAAACAGAAGTAAGCAAGCACACACCAAAAAGTATCTGTTAAACATAGCTACATAAATGGTGCTTTTGAAAAATTCAGTCCTTCCTCCTTAAGCAAGTAAAAAAACATCCCCATTCTATTTAAATGTTACATTAACTGCTACATTCTAGGGAGTAAGAGCTACGGATAATGCTCAAATCCCTGGGAAGGATTTAATTTTGCCCTATGTACCATTAAGAAACACTACACACTGGGCTGACCTTATTATGCCACCTATCAAATTTAGAGTCTGCAGAGGATTAGCAATCCTAGCATCTAATTGATGGCAGATCAGCTCAGAGTCAAATGTGCAGATCTACATGGAAACACAGCACAAATCTCTTAAAAAAGCCAGCAGGTGCCAAAGATGCTTTTTACATAGTTGTATCATAACAGCATTAAAATAGCTTTTTTGTGCAATTAATTAGTCAACTCAATTGCTTCTGCATAGTTCCATTATTAATAGTGCTGTGCTTTACATGCAAAGTGACCATGCATTTAAAAAAACTCATGACGCAAATTAGATTAAGAGTTTGATAACAGTTTGAAACTAAGGCAGTACCTTAGAGACAACAATACATTGCAGGCTGAAGATACTCTTATTTACAATTCATTTAACAAACCTCATGCTCCTCATCCAGTACCACCAACTGCTTATCCTTGTCGATTTTCACTATAAATCAAAATAAAACATAGATCAGTGGGGTTTTTTTTCAATCGATTTATACAACGTATGCATGAAACATTTCCCCACAAGTATATTCCTTGTGCTTCCACTCTGCTGCTTCAGTCTATCCATGACTTCACAAAATAACAGAAGTCGAGAAGCGCGCAGTCTAAGTGCTGTTCATTGCAATACATACACTCTTCTCAAATTTCAAAGACAGAAATGTCAAACTCCCCTACTTAAAGGCTACAAAATTTACAAATGCAAAATGACTGTGCCTTGACATTTTTTACTATCATTTTACAACCAGTGGTAGACTCTGAGCCACAATTAAGTATAAATATTCTACTAAGAGCAAATGAAGTCTTGTATCACAAGAAGCTTACAACCAGTGGTAGACTCTGAGCCACAATTCAGTATAAATATTCTACTAAGAGCAGATGAAGTCTTGTATCACAAGAAGTGTTGCTTTACTGTTAAAATTAGAAGCAGAAATGGAAATACTGAAGTTCATACAAGAAACAAGCTTTGGCTCACATTCACCTGTTACAGCAGCAGCATTACATGGAAAGGAAAAGAGGAGACAGGATTTGATGAAAGCCCTTGCAATTTTTGTTAGACAAGTTTTTAACTTACTTATAATGGCAGCATTGTTGGTTTCTTTACGAAACCGGAATTTTCTCAGTTTCTCCACTAGGTCTTCAGCAACATCACAAACCACCAGAGATTCACTCTAGAAAAGGGAAATGGCAGAAGGGAGGGAAAGATAAATTCTTCGAGTAAACCAAAAAAAAAATCCCCATGTCACGCATACGTGCACATAAACTACTGAAGTGGAACTGCATGCAGCTTGTCCAAAGTTTCAGAACATACACATAAACCAGGAAAACCATGGATGAAAGCAGTTGTTTTAAAAACCACAAACACAAAACACTTATGTTTTACTATCCCTCCTCAAAGCTACACAGTTAACTAGAAATATTAGCTATTCCTGAAGTCGGATTGTTCTCATAGCTCTTCATTTGCCAAGACGAGTCCTGAAATAAAGAAACCTCTCGGAGTGGCAGTAAACTGGCTACAGTCATTTAAGCATTTAAAATTATTTGAGCTACTATTAGTATTTCAGAAGAACAGACAGTAATCAAGGGTCATTGCTTATTTTTACCCACAAAAGTATTAACTGAACTTTTGAGATTTACATATACAGAAAGCATTTAAGACATTTTAGTCAAGAAGTATGCATACTTTCCCCCATGTGCTTTTATGTCACCAATTCCAAGTTTTCAGAAGAAATGTCCAGATAACATATTAGTCATCACACTGAAGATAGGGAAGGAAATGATGATTTCACAAGCAACCATGCAGGTTATCTGCCATTACACATGCAATTTTTAAACTGTACCAAGCCAACCACTGCCATTTTGAGCAACACTTTATACACACAACCTTTATCACCACAGTTAAGAGATGCAAACCAGCTAGACGAAGAACAGTTATTTAACATCTCCAGCTTATCCATATTACTGTATTTGTAAATTCCTAAGGCATCAAGGCTTTTGTGCCAAAACAGCTGTATTTCGAGACTTCTTTAAAAAAAACCAGCTCAAATAAAAAAAATAGCTGCAAGATTGCCTACCACAAGCTCTAATAGAGCTGTTTCACTGAGACAAATTACTGCTTACAAATCAGAAGGTTACTGTTGAAACTCTGAGAACTGTCTCCTCGCGTTCAACATTGGTTTGTTTGTGAGATTTTCCTCAAAAAGCAGAGAAGAGTCTCTGCTTCCCCAATTCCAAAATCACCTTGCGAATATTCTGTTTGTTGTTACTCCTAAAAAGACTTCCACCTTGACCAAATTCTGGCACAAAGTCTTGTGCCTCTGCTTCCTTTTAACAGCTGGAGAGGAAATCAGGCTCTGCTGTGACAGGACAGGTCAGGCACTGTGTGCGCAGCCTTGATTAGTTTGCTTGTCATCCCTAAACTTTAAAGACTGTTCCTGGCTCCCTCCAATCCACAAATGTCATTCATATCCACTCGCACTATTTCAGGAAGTTTCTACTTAAAAAGCCAACAGAATTCCAGGCTGCACTTTGAAGTCGACATTATATTCTGTATCAAATGTGGGGTTTTTTTTACAAAGAAAAAAAAAATCTCTTCACAGTCCTCTAGGCTCAGCTTGGGATAAGAGCCCAAAGCAGTTTCCTGCCATCTTCCAGCAGACACCACAGGGTAAGCAGTGTTCTTGCTCATACCTGTGTAGCCACACAAATACAAATCCTTAAAAGAAGCTGAAGGCTGTGCCTGCAAAACACATGGGGACATCAGATTGAGATCACCTGTTGGGGCTAAGCTGGCTCACCAGTGCTTGGTTTAATAAGAACTGAAGAAAGTCAAGTGGAGAGACGGGAGGGCTGCACAGACAGCGGGCACACGGCCCGAACAGCGCAGTGGGGGGTGTTGCTGCTGGTTAACCTCAGCCACCATTCAGATCAGCATTGTACCTCATGATTTTCAGAAACCGATTTAGCCGTCTGCCCAACAACCGCTGGCAGGGCAGGTCATGGGTTCCTTTTTACACAGCTGTTTCTTCACTCTCCCCCCGCAGGCTGCCAGCGCCCAGCAGAAAACCAACCGAGGAGGTCCTCTTCCCGGCGGGGCA